TTCCCCTCCGTTATTAAAAAAAAAAAAAAAAAGATTATTTCTAGAGAGCCTTTATCTTTTATCTATTGAGCAAATACATAGGTACATGTGCCATATATCTCGAGACTATGTGTCTACATTATATCTTTACACATTGTAATAAAGGAAGAGTGATTAATTTAAATTATAAAACAGCCAATGTATTTGTAATTTGGGTATATATCAGTTATATGTATAAATATATTTTATGCTGAAAAATTTCAGAAATGATATTATATATTGGGTATGGGAATAAGTTTCCGCCCTTTTTAAATGAAAAAGATGTATTTATTTAAACAAAACAATACAAAGTAAGTTCATTCAAAGTATGCTCCATCAGAAGCGACAACTTTCCCCCACCTTTCAGGTAATAAACAGATTCCTCGAAGGAAGAAATCTGGTTCTTTTGAAGCGATCCATTTATCAAGCCATTTTTTGATATCTTCATAAAAATTGAATCGCTGTTCAGAAAGGGCCGACAGCGTGGACCGGAACAAATTGAAATCTGAAGGAGCAATGCCCGGTGAATACGGCGGGTGGGGCAGAATTTCCCACTTCACTTCTTCCAAGTATTTCTTGACCGGTTTTGCAACGTGTAACATAGCGTTGTCACGTAGCAGAATCAGCTTATCGTGCCTATTGTCTCATTCCTATTGTTTTTGTTTCAAAGCTTAGTTCAAACAAATCGCTTCGAACGAATATCAACTACTGGGCCCCTATTCTGTAACTGTTTTTCACGCTTACCGACATTTGTCGGTGTCGTTGCACAGCTTTTTCACTATATAAAATATCTGCGCAACGACACCGACAACTATCGGTAGGCGTGTAAAGACAGTTACAGAATAGGGGCTCTGGGCTCAAAAGCTTGAACACACACCTTTCAAATACATGTATTGCCGTTTTTTCAAACACACAAGCAGTGCTACTAACGACATCTCTCTAATGGGCGGAAACTTATTCCCATACCTAATATTAATATTAAATAATTTGAATGTCTTTATTATTTTTATAAATTGACACTGAAATTATGTTGATCATATATATATATATATAGGGTGGACCATCTGAAGTGATCCAGTCAAATATCTCGAAAACTAGTAGGGA